TAATGGCACTTTATTATAATTTTTACGGCCATACCTGTAAAAGAGTACCCAAGCACGAAACATTGCTTCTTTGTACACAGGCCAATTTCCACTTCGAAATATAACTGGATAGAAATCTAGAACTAATGGTATAATATTATCTAAAAGGTCTAATAAATACCTTACCTCAGGATCCTTGCAATTACAAAATTTAATTAATACTTCTTTTCTTATTAGGTTCCATCCAGAAGCAGCCAGTTCAAGTAATACATTTATTTTGTATGGCTTTGGTTTTTTTGCAAGTGGTCTCTTCTTTAAATAGAGAAAACAATTTAATTTGTTGAAAAAAGAATAGTTCAACATTACAACTGTTTCACGACTATTCAATGAAACATGTAAAGGTCCAATCATTGGGACAATATGTTGCAGGAGAGGTGAGAGTTGGTGGGTATTTGTTGAATTAAAAGAAGCTGAAACAGCACGTCGCACATGAATCTGTCCAGGATAATCCATTGGTGCTACAAGTATAAACTTTTCAAGATAAGCCTTCAACTCTGGAACATTAAATATATTTTCTAAAGCTTTTATATAATCTCCTGTAGAGTGTAAGCTTCCTTCAACCAAGTTGACAAGCTTGGTGTTATCCATACTTCTGTCTTCTTTTCGTTGTTGTATCCTATTATCATAACTATGCACCAACAACATCTCAATACGTTCTTCATGGTTTCTTGCCTCAGGTAATTCTTTAGCAAAAACAACCTTACGTTCATTATATGTTAACCAAAGATGAGGAAAAAACAATACCTGAACATTTTCCACAATAAGCTCCGCATCAATTCCTTTTGGATTGTGGACATTTTTACCAACATGTAAATTATCAAATGGAACTGCTGGTAATTCTGGAACTGCTTTTAGTAGGATAGTTTGAAAGTGATGAACATCTGAGGATGTTGTTGTATCACCATGTCGTATAGTATGGATGTTATGATAATCATCAAAATTTGCCACCATAAAATCATCCATCTACATCAAATTCATTAAATTAAATTAATGTTTGCAATATAATTACAACTAAATTAAAATTCATAAGCATTATCCTTACATGTTCTAATACAAAGGAGCTAACAGTATCATTGTGAGTATTTTCTTGTTTTTTTTTATGCCTCATTACTGTCTCACGCCTAATGCTTATACCTGCTCCTGCAAATGTTTCAATAGCTGAGGATGATGTACCTGCACCATCTAACATATATCCAATTTCAGCTTTAATTCCATTGATGAATTTATTATTCAGACCTGCCAGAAAATAACAAAATAAAACTAATCTTTTTTTATTTTTTTCATTAGTCATGTTATTTTTATCTTTTGGATTTGTTCCAGCATAAAGTTGATTAAAAAAACCTTTTAATGCTGGTTCAGCTTCTTCTAACATTTTATTAAATTCATCAGGTTCTAAAATGGGTTTTTCGTTATTCACCCTCTGCCTCATATACAATATACCTGCCATTAGTTTAATTTTTTTATTAAGAGGTGTCATTTCTAAAATAAAATAAGTAAGCTAGTTAAATATAATTATTGACAATAAAAGTAATTCATCATTTTATTTAAAAAAAATTTTTTTTAAGATATATATTTTCATTTTGTTCAATAATAATAAACAATATTATTATTTTTAATATATTGGTGTGTAAAGATTAGAAGGATAATTAGTTACTTACCTAGTTTGGCTTCGTCAAGTTCTGCACACACTTCATGATATGCAGATTCTAATTGTTGAAATTCTATCTCAGAATATAAAATATCATCACGTAAAGCGTATGTTCTATTTTGAAATTTCCTAATATTTTCACTTGATGTTTTTTGAACTGGTAATTGGTAATCAGGTGAATCCAAATATTCTGGATCATTATCAGATTTATATAAGCAATGGTGACACATTACTGCTGTCTCTGATAATTTAAAATAATTAGATAATCGTCGAGGTGTCTTCTTGAATGCATTTCCTTTTTCTTTTCGTGCTGTAGAAAGATAAATATCATGCTTGGGATGTGAACAAGTGTTAGTTATTTTGATTTTTTTAGCATTAACAATTAATTTATTATAATGCCTTCTACATAACGCTTTTCCAACCAAATTTAAATGTTTGTTAATATCTGGAATAGTCACTTTATCAGATATTATAGAAGCACCATACTTATCATTATCACAAATAACATCACTTTGTCCCTCCATATCACAGTGTACTGCTCTTCTTTTGTTTTTTTTTTCACTAGATGAATGTTGTGTAGACATTTTGCTAAAAAATAAATATAATAAAAATAAATAAATTCTAATTCCGGAAATATATAAATAACAGATTGAAAAAAAAGTCTCTATAGCTAACTTCTGAATTACTCCACCTTTTTCCAAATTACTTTGGTAATATATTGAATAAAATGTAAGGTATTAGAATATCCTGTTTATATTGTCAGCGAATTGATTTCTGTGGCAGCGAATTCACCCGAAGTCAGATGACAGGTCATTTGTATATGATTTATATGTTGTGAAACTAATGCTGATCATTTCGTAAAATCGAATACCCGCTATGTTTTTGCCAAAATATTTTGTCTTTTTACCTAAAACCATAATATTTCCAAAATACCAAAGTTATTTTGACACTGTCATAAAGGAGGAGGTTAAACATGTCATAAAGGGTGTTACAGTTATGTTTTTAATAGTATACTTTTGACTTTTGACTTTTGGCATTGGAATATTTTAACTTTTGACATCAACAAATACTTTGGGCTGCATGTATAATTTTGATATTTTAAACATAATTACAATATTTTAACCTGATTACAACATTATGAGATTATGGCATGATTATGACATTACGGCATGATTATGACATTATGACTTATGACAATTTGAAAATGGATGTCTAAATATATTTACGACATTATGACATTACGGCATGTCAAAAGTTGTAATAGTTTGGGCTGCATGTATGGACTATTTTATGAAAAATTACATCATTGTGCAAAAGGATGCTTGGATATTTCGCATCCAACTATTCAAAAGAATAATTCATATTTTTGTGACTGCCAAATTTAGAAATGATTTTCACAGGCTAGTCTAAATTTAGTAACGATATTAGCGGCCAATTTCATCATGAACATTGTAAACTTGTGCAACTTTGAGCCCTTCTAACTGCGCAATGCTGTGACATATCAACAAAATGAAATCGTAACTTTGTAGAGAAAGGTCTTAGCTTCAAAATTACGGCTTATTTTTTTGGTGTTACATTTCCATTTTTGGAGTTAGAGAAGGATCTACAAGGACAATAAAAAATTGTGGGACTAGGTGTCTTGCACTATACCAAGTTTAATGTTAAAATTTGGCTTTCGTGGCACTTATAAATTTCAATAATAGGAAAAAAATGAGTGGCATTAGTGATGCAGAGAAACAACAATATCTTCAATTATTTAGTCAACTTAATCCTTCACCAAGTGGTCATATTACAGGTATTCAAGCAAAAGATTGGCTAATTAAATCAAATCTACCAGTACATTGGCTTGAAAAGATATGGCAAGTTTTTTATATGAATTCGAAAATATTTACACATTATATGTAAATAATGTACTCATATAGAATATTATTAAATCAACCATTAACTTAAAAAGGGATTTATGTGATATTGATAAAGATGGGAGACTTGATTTTGATGAGTTTACTGTGACGTGTAGACTAGTTAATGATCTTCTAGCTCGTGTCTATCCAGAAGTACCAAAATTTCTGCCACCACAATTAGTTCCTCCAAGTAAAGTTCGTCATCTTTTAAGTGTTAATAGTGGTGTTGGGAATACATTTGGTTCAAATACTTCCTTAATAAATTCTGGAATTTATCCTACTCAATCAATAACTCAAATTCCACAATTAACAACAAGTTCTCTTCCTAATCTACAACAACAGCAACAGCAGCAGTTCCAAGAACAACAACAACAACAACAACAACAACAGCAGCAGCAGCAGCAGCAGCAACAGTTACAACAATTACAACTACAGCAGCAGCAACAATTTATTAACTCTTCATCAACTAATTCCAACATGTCAAATATAATATCTCCTTATCAATTAAATATATCACAAGTTACACCACCACAATCAATGCAATCATTATCATCAATTTCTTCATTATCCGCAATTTCTAATCGTCATCATCAGGTACCAGTCAATCCATGAAAATTATTCGATATGTACATATTATATATCTATCTACATATAATGTTTTGATATATTAGCCAGGTTTTGGTTCTTTCCCTGCTGCACCATTATCAGACGACTTTGATTGGTACATGCCACCAGCCGACAAGTTTAACTATGAGAATGAATATTCAAAAAAAGTAGACCAAAATGGATATGTTCGATGTAAGCTGCCTTTTATTTTCTCATATACATTTATTTGTATAATTTAATATTTATATTTGTACTTAATTTAATGATTAGTTACAAGTTTTGATGATCTTTATACAAGACTTGGCATATCAAGAGAAGAAGGTATAGCAGCATGGTATGATTAATTTATTAATAAAAAAATATTTTTAATTTTTTAATTAAGTTCCTTTTTTATTTATTATTAAATAAATTATTTATTATATTTAGGAATCTTGCTGATGTTAATTTTGAACAAAAACTTGGAAAAGATCAAAGTTTAGTATTTCTTCATATATTAAACCAAAGGAGTAAGGGAAAACGTATTCCTGATAATATGCCATCTGCTTTGAAAACTTCTTTATTGAAGGGTAAATTAAATTATAATTATAATGAGGTTCAAGACCCATCTTGGCGATCAAAATCATCCTCTAATTCAAAAGTGGAGGAAGAAAAATTGGAAAAAGAATTGGCAGAATTAGATGAAAAGATAAACAAAACACAAGATGCAGCATCAAATTCATATACAAGAGCTTTATCTGGGAAGAATTTGTCATCAACTGTTGCGGAACTTAAAGAATTATTAAGTTACAAACAAGCATACCTTCTAGAACTGGAAAATGTAGAATTGGCAGAAAAACTTATTTCTCAAATGCAAGATGTCAAACAATCACTTAATAACCAAGTTTCAATATTAAAAAATAACTTTGAATTAGCTGTAACAGAATATAATAGTCTTAAGCAAGAAGTCAATAATGCTAAAATGGGTAAATAAACTAATTATGAAAGAAGCATTTATTACGAAAAAATTTTATTAATATATACACATGTATAATTTTTTGTTTAATAACGCAAGCAAGATGATAGATGATACAATTTTATTTATTTATTTTATTTGTTTGTTTGTTTGTTTGTTTGTTGAAATGACATGATTCTTTTCCTTCTTGCCAGTTCTTTTTCCAAATCCCATAAATTATCTAAACAAAATTTTCGTATTTGATTCTTTAATCCAAAAGAAATCTCTAGAATTTTCAATGCTCCTCTAAAATATTCTATACTTTTTTCTAATTCACTAACATCATCGTCATCATTTTTTTTCTTATCAAAATCAGTATCCACATCATTGTTTTTTTCTTCATCTTTGATATCAATAATTTGTAAACTAATTTTACCAATAGAATATAATTGTAATCCAATTAATGGGTGTGTATCAGGCAACAGAATTTTATAACTATTTAATAAAATCATATTATATTTTAGTGCTAATTTCCAGTTTTTTAATGCACAATTTGTTTGAATTAATGATTTTATTGTTTGTATTAAATTAAAATTTCCTAGATGTAAAATTTTTGACTGGATATTATATGATTGATTTAAATAATTTAATGATTCTTTTGCTATTATTATTATTATTATTATTATTATTATTATTATTATCATCATCATCATTATTATTATTATTTATTGATTTATTTTGAGGAAGAAGAAAAAAAGTGAAAAATGGAAAAATGTGTAAATATTTTTATACAATATAATATCTTAATAATATGAATGAAAATATCATTATTATTTGATAAAAATTACCGTTCATTGTAGCTTTTCTGTACAATTCCAAAGATTTAGATATTTTACTTTCAATCTGCGCAACATCATACTTTATTAGAACTCCACATTTTGAACAATTAAAAGAAAACTCTTCTATTTCCATCTCCAAAGATTCTTAATAATAATAATTAACAATTAATATATAATATAATACTTAAAACATTACCAAATTAAAAATTACCTGGTGGTTCAATTGGATTAGTGCAATTTGGAGTTGAACATTTCAATGCATTTCTTGGATCAACATTGTTTTTTGACTAGTTATGAATTTGGATTATTTAATTGAATTTATTTATTAGGAAATTTAATTTATATAATAAACACAAAATATTTATTTTACCTTATAATATTCACATAACTCACATTTACACAAGAAAAAATATCGTTCTCGTAAATCTTTTCTTCTTTCAATATTAGGTTGCAGTGTATCAGAATAATTTATTGTAATCTATTATAATAAATATATCAATATTATCAATAGAATTAATATTTTTATAATTATTGTTGAAAGTAAACTTTTTTCCTCACTAACTTCTTGATTTTTTTTAATTTCTTTAATACATTTAACCAATAATTTTGAGTTTTCAAACACTACAATACAATTTGATGCGCAAGAATGATTTAGTAATGCTGTATTCATATAAATTCCTACTCCAATTGTTACCAGCTCATCATCTAAAATTGAAAAGCTATTTTCTATCACCTAAAAAATAATATTATTACTTTTACTATTATTTAATTATTAAATTAACTAATAATACTTGGTATAGTTAAATCAATCAATCATTAAGTAAATAGTTAACTAACTACCCTACAAAATAATTCGATCAAATCTTTGGCTGATATTATTGCATCACGAGTAATATATTGTTTAACTAATATACTCATTTCACCAAAATCTTCAATTTTCTCTTGTTTAAATAATTCCCTGTCTAAATTTTGTAAAAGGAAAAGAATTTATTAATTATGAATAAAAATAAATCATAATTATAAATAATTATATTTGCTTACTGCTAAGTAAATTATTGACTTCTTTAGACTAATATATATATGTGTGTAGCATTAGTAATCTGATGAATTGTTTGTAAAAGCACCTAGAAATTATTTTTATAATAAATAGTTACGGTGTCTGGTTCATTTTTTCTACGCATAAGAATTCTACTGATTAAACGGATTATAGTAGGTGGCTTTCTTTGAACCTTTTTGACTGTTTTACATTCTTGTTGATGAAATATCCAATCTTTACGTTGACATTCCTAATATTTCATATTTAATATTATATTATCTATCAAAAAGCAAAATTGTTTTTATGGCAGAAAAATAAAATTTTAAACCTTAGAACAATAACAATTCATATTACAGGATGCACAACGTAATATTTTTTCACTTTTTGAAAAGCAATTACTACAAAATTTTGCAAGGTTTTCATCATCTACCACTGCTATATATGGATAATCTATCATTATAAGATTACCTATATTATTTTTTTAAAAATAAAAGGATAAAAATAATATTAATTAAATGCCTCCACAATATATACACGTGCATATATATATGGAAGTAATTTTGACCAGGTTTTATATTTTCTAAAGCATAAATCCCTCTTCCTGATTCCTGAGTTGTTCTTAATTCAAGCTTTTTATAGGCATCTTTCAGATCAATCGAAGAAATCATTTGTTGTTGTTGTTGTTGTTGTTCGTGCTTTGTATTATCATCATTCAAGCTTGTAATCGATCCTTTTTGATTGACTTTATCTGATGCAATTATTAATTGTGGATTACGTTTAACGCCTTCAAAACCTGTACAATGACCTGACTAATGCTAAGTTAATAATATTAAAAAGAATTAAAAAAATCAAATATACAATAAAAAACATATGCATACTACTTCATGATCTATCTCATCAAAAAAACTTAAATGTGTCACTAATCTAACATTTGGATTTATAGATTTTTTTTTAAAATCTTGAATTTTAACGTCGATTTTTTTATCTTCAATTGTCGCTTCTTTTTCATCAAAATTTTTTTTACGTATATTCTTTTTTTTACTGCTCATTTTTATAAATTGATTATCAATAGATAGATGGACTTGGAAGTACCAAATTCCTCTGAAAAAATTTTTTGGATTTTAAAAAGTACAAAGTATTCTTACTCAGAAAAAATAGTTTTTGTAACTAAAGTATGGAATTCAACTGATATCATTTTTATAAACAAGAACATCTTTATATCAGATTGGGTTTGTTCTACTTTGATAAAATCATGTGGATTTTCACGAATAAGGTAGCTTTTTAAATAAATAAATGCTGTAATGATAATGATAATATTTGCTTAATAATAGTAGTATACTAATATTTAATTTAATTATTGGAAGTTTTGGCGAGACACCTTTCCTGAATTTAGATTATTGGAGTTTACTTGAAGATATCTTGGAAATAAAAAAAGATTCTTCTAAATGCCTTGAAAGCAATATCGATAATTTAATAAGAGATCAAGACGAATTATCAAAATTATTAAATAAACTACCATTGGTTAATGTATTTACAAGAGTTTTAGAATTCTTTATAGATTTTTCTAAAGGTGAAACTGACTATGACACATTAAAGCTGTTAGAATTAGTCAATCGAAATTTTCGACAACTTATTGAAGAGTCAAAATTTTTTAAACCTTCAATTGATCAAATTACAACATTGACTTTGAATGCGTGCAACCTTTTGGTGAAATTAACGTTTGATGTTTCTTCTAATGATTATGATAATGATGATGATGATGATTCAATGAACATTGATATTGAACAAAAAAGTTATGAAGTTTTACTAATAGAATTCTTTTCAAAAATTATAAAATTCTTAAATCACTGTTTTATCACTAATTCCAATCCAAAAAAGGTTTCAATTTTTATTTTTAATTTAATTCATAATTAAAATTTTGTTTTGGCTTACAGCTTCATGCCTATTTACTCTTTATTATTATTATATTGTCATTGCTATTGCAAGGCATATAATATACTTATTGGAAAATTGCTTGGGCCAATTCTTAATTCTAGATATTTCCTAATTCATTTAAACGAAAAAAATCAATACACAATTATACAAAATATTATTGAACAATCTCTTCAACAAATTAATGATGTATTAAGATATGGTTTATTCAAACAAGATCATATAATGGAGTATGTACCAGGCACAAACGAATCTAATACAAATCAAGATAAAAAAGTTATTGGTAAGAACTCAACTAATTATCACAAGCAACTTTTTGAAAAATTAAGAGAAATCATGAATACAAAAAATTCATCATTTTTCAGTGGCGGTAGCGATGGTCAATTATTAATCGGTATGTATTATCTTTAGACGAGCTTTATTTTAAATCTTCAAAACTAAAAAAAAAAATTTTAATTATACCAGTCATAGAAACGTTACCTGATTTATACAGCTTTTTTATTGAGGAATTACGAAATCATTTGAATTCTTTATCATCATTAAAGAACATAAAAGAAATTATTAATAATCAAAGATTGTTAGAATTTAATTTCCTTTTGGAATTTTGGGAAATAGTAAACGATATAATAACAAATTCAAATTCTCAACAACAAAATCCTGTTCACTTTAAAGTTTCTTTAGAAATTCAGAGTATATTGCTATCAAAGCTTTTGAATTTTAATGTTTATCAACCAAAAAAAATCTAATTTAAATTTGATTTTATTGATAATAATAAAAATAATACCCACAGATGATTTTACATACCATACGCATATTAATAAGACAAATAATTTCGGTAGTACAAAGTGAAGATATTCGGCAATCGTTACAGCCTTAATATTAGCTTTTTCCTGTTTCTATTGCAGTTGTTGTTTCTGAATTATTATTAGTGACGGGCATCATAAATATAATTCCTTTCGTAAGAACCAAATAAAAACTTACGTCCCGTCATCTGAAGTTGGGTCTTGAATCCTTTAATCCTTTGGAGCTGGAATTTGGATCCGGTCTATTTTTGTTGAACTGGCTCGAATTCGGATTCTAAGCAGACAAACCGGGCTGCAACCGGATTGGGACCGAGCTCAAAACGGATTGAGTTTTTTGGATAATAATACAAATAAAAACAAAACTTCACTAATGAAAAATGAACTATTCTGATACGTGCAATTTTTTTTTGCAATTTTTTACAACGTTGTTAGTTTTTGCAACCATTAATGCTCACGGCCTCCAATCTTTTATACTCTTCTAAAACCGCCCTTACGAAATTTCCAATCTCTCCTAAATTGTTACAAAGTATGTGTTGCTCTGATTTAGTCGAGTTGTATTCTCGTTAAATTAATTCTTTATTTACAATTAAGATTACTCAATAGTGGAAGATTAGGCATTCACTGGGATATATAAATAGTGACAACTAAACATTTTAATATTTTTGTGTAATTTTTTTAAATTGAAAAAATTCTTTACTTTTTATTATTTTAAATCTTTAACCACTTTGAGCAACTGTTGACCATCCTTTACGTATAATTCCTTTTTTCCCCCATCTATACAAAAATTAAAATAAAATAAAAAATTTATTAGTGGAATTATATTTTGTTTTGGGACGTGGAAATTTTTTAACACAGGCACAGACACATGTACATATATTAACATTGATATCATACAATTCTAACAATCTGTCTCCTTTATTATTGGTTTCACTATAAGCTGCTTGTGGAAGTAAAGTTTCAATGATTTCATAAACAACCCGTGGTTTAGCTTCAGTTAACATGTCTGAAATTCAACAAAAAAAAATTATAAGTAATACATTTGTGTATATATATATGTATCATTTCATTTTCATATATTATAAGATTAAAATTAAAACCTTCTGTTTCTGGTTTTATAAAGTCAAATAGACAATCTGGATTCCTTTGATGTCGAAGTTCAATTTCACCCACCTAATACAATCAATGAATATGATAATAATAATAATTGTCTCATTATTAACAATATAAAACAATAAATACCTTTCTAAAAATCAAAAGAGTTAACTTTGATTTATTGAAATATCTATATGGTTGATGTGAAATCTGATTGTTTAAATTTTTTTTAATCCAACAGAAATTTTCCACATATCGAAATTTCCAATTTTCAGCTATTTGAACAATATCTGGTATAAATTCCTTTTCAACCCAAATAAAAAGAAACCCTTTAGGAACAACGGCTGTTACATTAAGTTTACCCTACCAAAAATAAATACAATATTAACCATTATATATATTTTATCAATTTCCAATTTTTTGGGTTTTTATTATACATACTAATTGCTCAACAGTTATTTTTCCTGGAGATGGGTTTTCACCTGGTAACAAAAGTGGTGGATCTATATATACAGCTTGGAAGTTTGTTCCAAGTTTTTTAAGATCCATTGATAAAATATCTTTTTCAAAATATCTATATTAAATAAAAAAAAAATTTTTTTCAATTAAAGAAAGAACATATTAAAATTTTTATTCATATTTACCTTGAACTGGAAACTTCTTTGACTGATTCATCAGAAAAAATAATACTATGTGCCCATGAAGATTGGATTGGTGCAGCAGGAATTTTAATATATGTTGGTAAACTTGGGTTTATATTACTATTTATTAGAATATTATTTTAATTTATTAATTTTATTAAAATTATAATATTTAGAAAACAACAACAACAACAACAATGATAATAATGATAATGATAATTGATTTGTTCATATATTTATTTACTACCTGACTTTTTTTTTTATTGTGTAAAAGTTGCCATTCCTATCTTGTAGATTAGCTTGTAAAATTTTATATTTTTGTAATTGTTTTGCTTTTTCATTAAGACGCTGATCTTTTTTATCACGTTTTCTTTTCTTTTTATCACCAAACTCTTCATCCCAAAAATCATCATCTACTGCCATGTAATCACTATTATAAAGAAGAAAAATCCCTGGATTACTAAATATTATTCTTTTTTCTTAGATTTTTCTTAAAAAAATTTTAATTAACTCTTCTTCATAATATTCTTCAATACTATTTTCCATTTCTATTCTCCATAATTCTATATCCTCAAAATCATCAACATTTGGTGCTAGAGTAGCAGATTTGACGGTAAATGTAGAAGTTCTTTTAAATACTTCTTCCAATTGTTCCTCAGTCAAAGGCTCTTCTTCAACATTATCATCATTAATTAAGTTTTCAGGTTTAGTGGCAGCAATTTCTTGTTGAATTTTTTCCAATTCTTCAAATTTTTTCATAATTGCTTCGACGGGTTCATCATCTTCAACATACCCAACAAAAAACGCGTTACTTTAAAATTTTAATGAATAAGTTTCTTAATAAATATAAATAAGGACAATCCATAATTTACATGTTATAATGTGTAAAGTACAATAGCATTCATTAACCTACCTAGCAGTTGATAAATAAGGATTTCTTTGACGTCGTCTTCTTACTGGTCTATCGCTCATCATATTATTAATTAATGAAATCTTCTTTTCAATTATGAAAATTTTTTTCGTGTTATATATTTAAGAGAGATCGACATATGAAAAAATCATATAAATGTTACAAATGTTACACCAAAATGGTAAATCTTGGACCTATCAATTGGCAACAGGAGAGACCGTCCTATATAAGGAATGGATTTTCACAATTGATTTCAATTTTTTTATACAGTTTAAATTACTTTTACAAGGGTATCATGTAGCCCATTCTTACAATAAATCATGTGCAAATAATTACACAAACTTGAAGCTTTAC